AAAGTTAGGGTGGAGACAGTACAGGGTTAAGGTGCTTACTTTGAGGCCAGAGAGATGGTACAGTGGGAGAAGGAACTTGTCTTTTATGTGGCTGACATGAGTGAGATCCCTGGCACCACATACTGCATCGCTAGTACCCCTAAAAGCGATTCTTGAGCACAGAGCCAGGTGTAAGCCCTGAGCACTCCTGTGTAAGGCCCAAAAACAAAATAGAAAAAAAATGTTTAAAGGCTGGAGAGACAATACAGCAGGTAGGGCTGGAGCAATAGCACAGCAGTAGGGCGTTTGCCTTGCGTGCAGTCAGCCAAGCCAGGTTCGATTCCTCCGCCCTTTTCAGAGAGCCGGGCAAGCTACCACGAGTATCTCGCCCGCACGGCAAAGTCTGGCAAGCTCCCTGTGACGTATTCGATATGTCAAACACAGTAACAACAAGTCTCACAATGGAGATGTTACTGGGCCCGCTAGAGCAAATCAATGAACAATGGGAGGACACTGACAGTAACAAGGCATTTGCCTTGCATGTGGCTGACCCGGGTTCGATTCCCAGCATCCCAAATGGTCCCCAGGTACCGCCAGCAGTAATTCCTGAGTGCAAAGCCATAAGTAACCCCTGAGCATCGCCAGGTGTGACCCAAAAAGCCAAAAAAAAAAAAGGTGCTTGAGGAGCCAGAGTGATAGTACAGCAGGTAAGGCACTCGCCTTGCACACAGCTGACCTGGGTTCAGCATCCCATATGGTTGCCCAACCAGGAGTGATCCCTGAGAGCAGAGCAAAGAGTAAGCACAGCCAAGTGTGACCCCCAAAATAAACAACAAGAAAAAGAGTATAATTCCTGGTCGAGAGCCAGCACAGTGGGCAGAGCACTGCCTTGTCTGTGGCCGATCATGTCCGATCCCCAGCACTGCATATGGTCCCCTGGAGCACCACCAGAATTGGTCCCTGAGCACAGCACCAGGAATAAGTTCTGAGCACCACCAGGTGTGACCCACATTTAAAAAAAAAAAGGAGCTAAAGTAATAGTATAGCAAGTAAGACACTTGCCTTGCATGCAGCCAACCAGGGTTCAAACCCCAGCATCCCGTATGGACCCCCCAGCCTGCCAGGAGTTAATTCCTGAACACCACAGAGTGTGGCCCCAAAACTGAAAAAGAAAAGACTATCATTCCTGGAGAGTACAGTGGGTAAGGCACTTAACTTGCACATGGCAACTCTGGTTGGATTCCTGGCACTACATATGATCCCTGAGCACAGAACCAGGAGTAATCCCTAAGCACTGCTGAATGTGGCTCCAGCTCTTCCCCCCTAAAGAGAATATAACTTCTGTCGTATTCCTTTGTCCCACAGCAACATAAAAAACACATTATAACCTGACATATTTAGTTAGTAAAAGTCCTGTCACTAAACCACCCTAATAAAGTTTTAAAATAGTCCAGTAACGATTTAAATAGATCTATAAATTCTTGTTTATAAAGAGAAAAATTAAATTTAAAATTAAAATTCACAGATAACTCATAAATTGAACTCTGAAATTTTAAAGATTAACAAAGTTCCTTCATTAACAGAATAGTAGTCTCAAATCTCAGTGATCTGGGTAAACCCTAAGGAATATTTTTGTTTTAAAATCCACAAGCTAACTCCAACAGCTTGTTTCTGTTTCATACTTTATTAGCTTCGATAGTCATCCAGGACTTTCTCCAAAAGAAGTAAAATTAAATAACCTCAGGCCGGAGAGACAGTACAGGCAGGCCACTTGCCTTGCATGCAGCCAACCCTGGTCTGCTCCATCACGACATATGGTTCCTCAAACCCAGTAGAAGCAAGCCAGGAGTGCAGCTAGTTGAGGTTTTCTCTCCAACCCCCACAAAAAATTAAGTAATCCTAACAAAAACTGTGAAGTTGCAAAATATAACCCCGCCCAAGCATAAAAAGCTAATAACCAAGGTATCATTTGGGGTTTGTTTTGTTTTTATTTGGTTTTGGGGGTATACCTATGGCACTGGAGGCTACTCCTGGCCCTGTGCTCAGAGACTGCTCCCAGACATGCAGTGCTGAGGATGGAACCAGATGGAGTCACACGCAGGCAAACATCTCAATCCCTTTACTAGCGACCAAGTCCCAGGTGTCATCTTGGCTCAAGAGAACCTGAGAATCCTAGAGAAGACAATCCCTTTCCAACAAAACACACATGCTAATATAAACATCCTAGTTCAATCTTGGATTGAGCTGCCCAAAAATGTTTTCACTCAGCAGTCCACATTAGGAGAAAACATACCTAATAGAGGATTAACTCATTCTCTCCCCCAGAGTCTTTCAAATAACTAGAAATCCCCAGACATGTAGATAACGTGTAGAAATGGAACACATAAAATTGTGACTGTCCACTCCTAGGTATATAGCAGAGAAAATAAAAATACATTTACTCAAAAACTTGTACATGGTTATACAGCATTTTATGTCATAAGGATAAGTAACTAACTGCCACTAATCTAATAGAGAAAACTTGGCACCTTTTCTATAAATCAAACATGGGGCCATGAAAAGGAATGAAGTACTAATACGTGCTACATCATGAATAAGCCCTGAAAACATCATACTAAAACACAAAAGGGCCGGAGCAATAGTAAGGCACTTGCCTCGCACACAGCCGATCTGGGTTCAATCCCCAGCATTCCATATGGCCCTGAGCCCACCAGGAGTGATTCCTTAGTGCAGAACCAGAAGCAAACCCTGAGCAACACCAGGTGTGTGCCCAATCCCACCCAGCACCTCCCCCTCCCCCCGCCCCAAATAAACACAAAAGACCATATATTGTATAATTTCATGTAAATAGAACACCCAAAACGAGCCAATCTAGAGGTAAAGGAGATGGACTGAAGTGAGAACAGAAACACTGCTGAGTTGGGGAGACAGCTCAAAGAACTAGTACGCATGCTCAAATGACATGGTTTCCCTCACAACACTGCTAAAGGCCCTCTTGAACAAGTACAGAGGGGTATGGCTCAAAAACTAAAATAAAAAGAAATTACTCTTAAAGGTACAAGTAGGTACAGGGTTTCTTTGGGAGGTGGTAATTGGGGCAGTAGCCGCCTACTCTGTGAAAATGAACTGCATGTGCTAGTAAGTGTATCTCAACGCTATCTTATTTATGGAGGGGGAAGGTTAATACCAGGTGATGCTCAGGGTTTACTCCTGGAGGACCTTGAGGGACCAGAGGGGTGCCAGGGATCAAACCTGGGTAGTCCCATGAAACACAAGTGCTCTACCCACTATACTATTACTCCAGCCCCTCAATGCAGGCACTGTAAAAATCAGTCCCTCCTTCCCATTCTGTTACATCAAATAAAACTTCTCATGATAAACATCTGAAATAAGATATAAATCACGAACCCAGGGTGTAGATTTGCAGCAAAACACGTTTTACACATGTGAGGACACAGGTTAGATCACTGGCACTGCAAATTTTTAAAAAGATAAAAATGAGCACTAACATTTAAACTTTTACTAAGAAATTGAATTTTTAAAACTTAAACTATTTTTATGTCTCAGCTATTTCATGGGGGTAGGGGGGGTTCCTGGCGGAGTGTTCTTGTACAGGCTAAACCAAGAACTTCTTCCATGAGAAACCTATGTTCCAAATCAATGAGCTATCCCTTTCACGAGAAAAAAAATTGTATCTGTGGGTATATATAATATATATGTACATAAGCACACATAGTGGTTATCATTGCTGGAAAACATGTTACAAAAATTCCGTGAAAAGTTTTTAGTAAATATTGTTAGCTCATGTACTGCCAAGCATTTGTTTTCTTTGAAAACTGAAAATACTCAAATATATATATATCCTTCCACAATATTCAATTATGAAGCACAACCACCTTAAGAAAATAAGTCTATTAAAAATGAAAAGTACTGAATATCCAACTAAAAGTTTCAAACCTTACCTATTATTAAACAGACTATTTCATAATGGTTTAAGTATGTTCAATTTGCAGGTGCATATGTGCAGTGTACCTTTATCTAATTGAGGGAGGTATAAGACTACCTACACAAACATTCACTGCATTTCCTGGGAGTTTTTTGGTAAAAAAAAAAGAAGGTTCGAGAAGGGTGTGGCAATTCATCCAAGGTCACACAAGTCAGGGCAGAGATCAACATTCTGGTTTATACCAAATCTCCTGGGGAAATATTACTGGCAATTTCGCAAAAGACTTTGTTTTGTTTTACATCCGAAAGTGCACACTCACCCAAAAAAAAAAAAAAAAAAAAGATTTGGGATACGGTTGGCTTAAAGCTTCCCCAAGTAGCTAGAGACGTGCGAAAGCTGAAAGCTACTTGGGATGAATCAACACGCCGGCGGGGAGCGGTTGCGGACAAACCAACCCATCCAGCAGACCGGCCGGGTCTCTGTCCCTCTCGGGTCGAGCCTCAACTAAAACCGTTTTCCTTCCTTCCTTCCTAGCAGGTGAGCAAACAAGCTTGGGCTCGCCTGGCACTGGTGAAGACGGCAAAATTCCAAGGAACAAACGTCGGTGCTGTCCCTACGAGTGCGGCAGATACACACACACACACACACACACACACACACACACACACACATATATTTTTTTTTTCTGGGAAGGAAAACTAACGGGCGTCAGGATGAACTCGGGTCTAAAACGATGGGAACAAGATCGGGGGAAAGACCCGCCCTAGAGGCACCGGGGGCGCCTTCGCCCAGGCCGGAGGGAGCCGGGGGCGCGCTGCCCGCGGGCAGGGCTGGCCGGGGGGCGGGCGGGGGGCTCGGGGACGGGCGCCGGCCCCGGCCCCGAGTCCCGCTCACGGGCGTGCGCTGGGCGCGGGGTCCGAGAGCAACGGCCCCCGCCCGCTCGGGGCGCCCCCGGGGGGAGGATCGCTGTCCGCTCGGGCACACTCACGCGTCGTCGGAACCAGCCTCTGGACCTTCCTACCCAGTGGGAAGCGCCTGACCCAGCTCGGCCTGCCCGGAGCCCCGCTCCCCTCACCTGGCCCTGGCCCCTGCCCCAGAAGACGTGAAAGAGGCGGCGGCGGCGGCAGCGGTTTCCGACAGGGTCCCCCAGCGGCGGTGGCTGCTCCGACCCGCGGCCCTAATCTACCGCCGCCGCCATGTTGGAGGGTGAGGTCACCCGCGGCGTGCTTCCGTCATCGCCGGGCGTCGGGGCGGGCCCGCGGCGCCGCGGCGCGGTGGGCGGGGCCGCTCGGGCGCGCGAGCGGAAGCGCGCACCATAGAGACCGGAGGTCCGCGTAGACCTGACCCGGAAGTGCCGGCGGCCGCTCCCGGACGCGGCTTCCGCTCGTGGCTGGTTCTGCAGCGGGACCTGCTGGCTGTAGAAAGTGAAGTGATGATAAACCGGTGGTGTGGGGAGAGAGGCTTGCGATCCCACCTACCCTGCCCCCCACCATAACGCGCGCACACACACACACACACACACACACACACACACACACACACACACACACACACCTCTGAAAGGAGCCTTAAGGCGTCAACTGCACTTGTTCTATAGCCACAGAAATTGTTCTCTGGATGTATTGAGGAAACGAATACAGTTTCTGCCCCAGATGTAGTTCAGCGCTAGGGCACCGTATGTGAGGTCCTGGGTTCTATGCATCACTCCACAAAAACAAATCAAAAACGACTTATAAGTATTGAGTTCCAAGTGTGTGCAAATTGCAAATAAGTGATTTTTCAGGAGTGAGCCCTGAGCACTACCAGGTGCCCCCCTCACCCCCAACACACACACATACACACACACAACCTCTTTTGTGTTGATCATAGGCAAAAAAGAAAAAGCTGGAGGTGTAAAAAAAACTGCTTCTAGAACAGAAGTTCTTAAGCTTCCAGTGAGTGCGTTTTGGTTGTTACAGCTTTGGGAGTCTCGCTTGTGGTGAGGCTGGGGGTCACTCACTTGGCTGCGATACTGGGTAAAACTCAGGCCATCACACATGTGAACTCTGCGTTCCACCACGGGCCACAGCCTGGTTCATGCCCCACGGCAAAAAAAGGCTTCCTCAGTCCTCCCACTAGCCTCTTTGCCTGATAAACTGTGAATTCCTTCTCTGGAAAGCCTTTGGAAAGAAAAAGAAAAACTGCAAACAAACAGGAAACACCAGATACATTGAAAAATAGTTATCAGAAATGAAATGATTTTAAAGCAGTACTGTGCTGCTTTTATAAAGGTAAAGGTAAAGGCCCTCCCGTTGATCGTCGATTTGCTCGAGCGGGCCCAGTAACGTCTCCATCGGAGACTTTCTTGTTACTGTGTCTGGCATATCCAATACTCTCGGTAGCTTGCCGGGCTCTCCGAGAGGGGCGGAGGAATCGAACTCCGGTCGGCCATGTTGGCCGCGTGTAAGGCGAACGCCCTACCGCTGTGCTATCGCTCTAGCCAGCTGCTTTTATAATTTTTTTAATTTATTTATTTATTTATTTATTTTACTGTATTAGTAGTTAGTATGGCGGGAACGACAGCACAGCAGGTAGGGCATTTGCCTTGCACCCAACCCATGTGGCCAACGACCCGAATTCGATTCTCCCACCCTTCTCAGAGAGCTCGGCAAGCTACCGAGAGCATCTTGCCCTCACGGGAAAGCCTGGCAAGCTACCCATGGATATATTCAACATGCTAAGCACAGTAACAAGTCTCACGATGGAGACGTTACTGGGCCCGCTTGAGCAAATCAATGAACAATGGGAGATGGGCTGGAGTGATAGCACAGCGGGTAGGGCGTTTGCCTTGCACGCAGCCAACCCGGGTTCGATTCCCAGCATCCCATATGGTCCCCTGAGCACCTCCAGGGGTGATTCCTGAGTTCAGAGTCAGAAGTAACCCCTGTACATCACCAGGTGTGACCCAAAAAGCAAAAAAAAAAAAAAAAGAACAATGGGAGAACAGTGCTACAGTGCAGATTTTTCAAATGCCAAAAGGAAGTTCGAAAAGATGAGACAGGTTGGGTGAGCCACTTGGCTTTCTTAGTCACCTGAATCCTGCCTGGAATGACCCCTAGCACAGAGACAGGAAGAAGCTCCCCAGCACCGCGGGATGTGACCCCCCCCCCCAACAAAAAGAACAATCTCAGTATAGGCATAGAAGCCAAATACAGGTATAGATGCCAAAGGATCTTCAGCAGTGGTTCTTTTGCTCACTACGATGCAGACATGCAGCAAGGGAAGGCCCCCTCTCCAGGCGATGACAGTGAATTTCCTGGGAAGTAATAGCTCTGAAGTTGCAAAGGCCAACCTTGCAGAAAATAGGAACAAAAGCCTGATAAGACCCTCACTTGGTGCCAGCCATGAACCCTGAAGAGGCTGGACCCTCAGAAAAAGCTCCAGCAAGAAAAAAAAGGCCAAGAAAGAAATTTCAAAGAAGACCATCATCACTCCCAACCCTACTCCCCTAGGCAACCACCTTAGCAAAGGACTTTGACCTAAGGTAGAAGCCTCAGTGAGGACAGGTTGGAGAAACCCTATCAAGGCCACCTTGAACAAAGGAACCACACTCATATGCTTCCTGAGCCCTTATGCTGCTTGCACACATATGGCTGAGCACACGCGGTGCCAATGTGTCTTCTGCATCTTCCCTTTCATGTGTACTTTCATGCCTAATGCTGGGATGTGTGTAGGAGCTCTCTCCAACCTTGGAGAAGCCCAGCTTTTCTCTTGAGCACATTACTCTCAACTCTCTCCCACTTTTCCTCCATCTCTTCAAAATCTCCAAATAAAAACAGATTTCACTGCTTGTCTACTGAAATTCCTTTCTGTGAGGCAAGACAAGAACCCAGTAACCCTGGGTCCCAGGTGGCAGAGGCAAATCAGGAGAAAATGACTATTTTTCCCCTCCCCACTTCACATGAGCCACCCGTGGGACCCGCCAACATCAACTGCACTGTGCTGAGAATAAAATGTGTCAGGTGACTCCTGAAATTCATATAGAACAATAAACCCCACAAAAAGCTAAAGCAGTCCTACGGAAAAAGAAGATGGGAGGCATTACCATCCCCAACTTCAAACTACTACAAAGTGGTAGTAATTAAAACATGGTATTGGAATAAAGACAGACCCACACACCGATGGAAGAGAGCCGAATATCCTCAAATATGCCCTCAAATAAAATGATCATCTAATCTTTGTAAAGGAGCAAGAAATTTGAAGTGGAGCAAGGAAAGTCTTTTCAACAAGTGGTGCTGGGAAAACTGGGCAGCTACTTGTAAAATAATGAACTCAGAACTCTTTCTAACGCCATGCACAAAAGTCAGATCAAAATGGATTGAAGATCTCAACATCAGACCTGAATTCATAAAGCATATGGAAGAACACGTAGGCAAAACTATCCATGACATTTAAGCTAAAGGTATCTTCAAAGATAAAACACCACTGACGAAGCAAGTGAAAGCATAGATAAGCAAGTGGGACCACACTAAACTAAGAAGTTCCTCCAAAGAAATGGTGACTCTCCCATGAACTGCCTCTGGTGCCATATAAGCTCATTCATGGTCCTGATCCAGAGACTCACAAATAAATCTCAGGAGAGAGCAACAAGCTGCAGAGATGCCTCCGGACACCAGAGTGACCATCCAGTTAAAAATTTAACCCCAGCTGTATCACCTTGTTTAAACTGTTAGAATTCTTGGAATGCACAGTCATATTCGTGGTCAGGTAACAGTCTATACTGCTAATGTACCAAGGGTAGCACACCATGTTTGATGGGGTATAAAAGTAGAAGGCACCTGATCTCGATAATATATATGTAATATATATACATATTATATATATGTAAGCACACAAGTTTCAACCTGTAGCAACATGTTCATTATCTCATACAAGAGCTTCATGGCTTCAGGGTGAGATACAACAACCTTCACATTCTTTCCTCTACGGAAACTTTTTTGGATCATTTTTAGCATAACATAGCAAGCAAAACAAAGTAAGTTATTTAGGGCCTGCTTTTGGCACAGGCTTGGATGGTGGTGGGAAAACTCAAAATAATGGTGGTGGTAAGGCATAATGGTGGTGGGCCTGATGTTGGAATATTGAATGTAATAAATTATTGTAAGCAACTTTATAAAAATAAAATAAATTTTAGAAAAGAAAAAAAAGAAATGGTGACTAAGATACAAAGATAGTTCATGAAATGGAAAAAATTATTTACCCAATACCCATCTGAAAAGGGATTAATATCCAAGATATATAAGACACTTATATAGACACTTATGTAGAAATTTATAAGAAAACAACCCCATCAAAAAAATGGGAAGATGAAATGAACAGAAACTTCCTCAAAGAAGAAATACAAATGGCCAAAAAGCACATAAAATATGTTCTACATCACTAATCATCAGGGAAATGCAAATCAAAACAACAGTGAGATATCATTTCACAACGCTTATACGGGCACATATCCAAATGAACAAGAACAACCAGTGCTGGCGCAGATCCGGTGAGAAAGGACTCTACTTCATTATTGGTGGGAATGCCAACTGGTTCAGCCATTTTGGAAAACAATATGGACATTCCTCAAAAAACTAGAAATTGAGCTCTCATTTGATCCAGCAATACCACTTCTGGGAATATATCCTGAAGGTTCCAAAACACATAGCAGAGATGTCATCTGCACTTCTGTGTTCATCACAGCACTATTCACAATATCCGGAATCTGGAAACAACCACTGTGCCTGAGAACAAATGACTGGGAAAAGAAACTATGGCACCTCTATTCAATGGAATACTGTGCAGCTATTAGAAAAATGAAGTCATGAAATTTACCTGTCAATGGATGGACATGGAGTGCATCATGCTGAGTGAAATGATTCAGAAGGAGAGAGAAAGACATAGAATGACGACATGCCTTTGTGGGATATAACAAAAATAGTATGAGATTAATATCCAAAGCCAGGGAACATTGAAGCCAGGAGGACTGGTCAATGGTTGGAAGTTTGCCACAAAAGTGTGTGTGTGTGGATGGGGGGGTGGGTATCAGGGAGGGCAAAGGGCAGTTAGCATAGAGAAGGGGTCAGTATGACAATAATAGTTGTAAATGATAATTTTTTTACAGGAACTGAGAATTGAAAGCAGGTAAAAGGGGTAT